CCTCTGCCCTATGCGCCATCTTTGGCACAAGAGGAATAACTAACTAACTAACCTCAGTTGTAACAGTCCAAGAAGCCAGTAGTGCCTTCCCCAAGAGTAACAGCAGCATGATGATGGTGGTGACACAAGCTTTCGTATGCCTAGAATCACAGAACTATGCCTGTGTGTGTACTGAGTGATTCTTTGAGCATGATCTAGCGGGTCGAGGCAGGCTGGTTACACAAACAGTGAATTGCATCATTGCAAAACTCTCCTGTGTGTGCAGTTACCTTCATATTAGTCCCGGGGCATACAGGTGTTGCTCTCAGTGAATGAGCTGATAGAGTAGCAAGTACTGCATTAGTTGCAGATGGCAGACCTATGAATCACGCAGACATTGTCAGTGCCCCTAGAGAGATAGGACGTTCTGAAGATTTCGGAAGCAATGTGCACACATTACTGCTAAAAATACAAGAACTAAGAGTAAAGATGGGCACAGCCAAGCATGTAAAGCACACCTGATGCTGACAAAGTCTTGTCAACTAGCATAATACTGCCAGTATTAACTACATGCTGCTGATAAATATGTTGAAGGGGGAATCTGAAAAACTCATAACTCAGACACACACATTCTCATAACTTATTGAACCTCAGGATGTTAGATACACACACACTGGCATATCTTAGTGAACCTCAGTTCATTAGACACACACACACACACACACACACACACACACACACACACACACATACATTGGCATATCTTAGTGAACCTCAGTTCATTAGACACACACACCCACACACACACTGGCATATCTTAGTGAACCTCAGTTCATTAGACACACACACACACACACACACACACACACACACACACACACTGGCATATCTTAGTGAACCTCAGTTCATTAGACACACACACACACACACACACACTGGCATATCTTAGTGAACCTCAGTTCATTAGACACACACAGGCATATCTTAGTGAACCTCAGTTCATTAGACACACACACCCACACACACACTGGCATATCTTAGCGAACCTCAGTTCATTAGACACACACACACACACACACTGGCATATCTTAGTGAACCTCAGTTCATTAGACACACACACACACTGGCATATCTTAGTTAACCTCAGTTCATTAGACACACACACACACACATACATTGGTATATCTTAGTGAACCTCAGTTCATTAGACACACACACACACACTGGCATATCTTAGTGAACCTCAGTTCATTAGACACACACACACACTGGCATATCTTAGTGAACCTCAGTTCATTAGACACACACACACACACACACATACATTGGTATATCTTAGTGAACCTCAGTTCATTAGACACACACACACACAGGCATATCTTAGTGAACCTCAGTTCATTAGACACACACACACACACACACACACACACTGGCATATCTTAGTGAACCTCAGTTCATTAGACACACACACATACATTGGCATATCTTAGTGAACCTCAGTTCATTAGACACACACACACACACATACATTGGTATATCTTAGTGAACCTCAGTTCATTAGACACACACACACACACATACATTGGCATATCTTAGTGAACCTCAGTTCATTAGACACACACACACACACACACATTGGTATATCTTAGTGAGTTATGAGTTAGATTATCTTCACAGCACTCCGGACACATCCATAGGAGTCCGGTTAAAATGGACGCTAGACAGCGGCGCTGTTCGGAGCGGAGGCAAATTTTTTGCTTCTGCCGGATGGTGGCCGAAGTATTTTTGATCCATTTGTAGACTGGATATAGTTTCGTCGCCCAGCTTCTGAGTTGAATGCATGGCGTGACCCTGTGAGCTGCGGATTGCATTTGGAATGTTTTTTTCGACTGTGACCAACGTGGTGTGAATTGTAGATTCAGAAAATGGCGCGATGCCGGTCGTGCAATGCTGGCGGGACCCGTATTAAAATTGATCGCCCGGGCAACTGCTGATCTGTTGGCGACAAGTTCTGCTATCATCAATGATGAACTACATTTCTAATGTTGGACTGTTTGTGTTAGCACTTCGGATGACTACCATATGCGTTAATGCGAGTGTATGCTAGATATGCTGAGACAGCAGTCTGTCAAGCTTTCCACAAGGGACTGTGATAAACATTCTGGGTGTTTTTCGCTGGCACAGGAGCGGAGCAAAGATGGGGCGACCCGTTTGCTATGAAGCTGAAACTAAGACTACCAGACTACCAGACCAGACATCCATAGGCTCTCAGATTCCCCTCTCAACATATTCATCAGCGTCGTTAATAGTGCCAGTCCTATGTTGGTTAACAAGACTTTGTGTGCGTCCAGTGGGCTTCTCATGCTTGGCTGTGCTGATCTTTACTCCCAGTTCATGTATTCTTAGCAGTGATGTGGACACGTTGCTTCCTAAATCCTCAGAACGTCCTATCTCTCTAAACGCAATGACAATGTCTGCGTGATCCATGGGCCGCCCATCTTCAATTAATGCAGTGCCTGCCAGTCTATCAGCTCTCTCATTACCAACAACACCTGCATACCCTAGGACAAATGTGAAAGTAACTGCACACACAGGAGAATTTTGCAATGACTCAAGCCACTGTCTGCGTAACCAGCCTGTCTCGACTCGCCGGATCATACTCAAAGAATCACTCAGCACACACATGCAGGAATAGTCCTGTGATCCCAACCACATGAAAGCCTGTGTCACCACCATCACCTCCATCGTCATGCTGCTGGTGGTCATAGAGAAGGCACCGCTGGCTTCCTTAACTGTTCTGCCTGAAGAGCGAGCTGTAAATGCTCATGCACTCTATGTCCTCGTATAACGGACCCGTCTGTGAAGATCACCACATCTGTCTCATCTGACAGCAGTAGTGTCACGACAACAGTTGTGACATGACAGTAGTTGTGTGACATGTCATTATTTACTAGAAGAATTGAATGCTTAAAAATGTGATCTATATGATATAAAGCAAATGCAAGTTTTTGACCTTGAAATTCCTATCAGATTCATTTTCAGACAGAGTTAAACTTACTAATAGGAACTATGAGTGATCACATTCAGGTTCTGTCAAGTTAACCCTCAGAGTTGTAGAGTTCAACTTCAGGCAGTTGGAAATTTTACCAGAGACTGTTAAGAGTTCCACTAGAGGAACTCTTTGAATTCAGCTTTAAGGAACAATTACTGATTATCTGTCTGGGCTGACTTAATCCATCATCAGACATTCACAGAGGTTACAGATTCAAGGGCACATAGGTAGCCAATGCTGCAGTCTCATGCATGAACCTGCTATTACGCAGTGAGTAGAATATGATTTGTTGTAAGATCATTCACTTTGTATGTGACTGAAGTGTACCAAATTACTCTGTACCTGACAACACTATACTATACCAGACTACACTGTACCAGACTACACTGTACCAGACTACATAACATTGTACCAGACTACATTGTACCAGTCTGCACTCTACCAGACTGCGTTGTGGCTGATTGCACTTACTGACTAAACTATAGGAGACCACACTCTATCAGACAACTCTGTGCCAGACTATATTGTATCAGACCACACTGTACCAGACAACACTGTACCAAACTATGGTGTGACTGCCTACACTGTGACTGACTACACCTTGACTGACTACACTGTGCCTGACCACACTGTGACTGACCACACTAACTGACTACACCTTGACTGACTACACCATGACTGACCACACTGTGACTGACCACACTGTGACTGACCACACTCTAACTGACTACACTGTGACTGACCACACTCTAACTGACTACACTGTGACTGACCACACTGTGACTGACCACACTCTGACTGACTACACTCTGACTGACCACACTCTAACTGACTACACTGTGACTGACCACACTCTAACTGACTACACTGTGACTGACCACACTCTGACTACACTGTGACTGACCACACTCTAACTGACTACACTGTGACTGACTACACTTTGACTGCCAACACTGTGACTGCCTACACTGTGACTGCCTACACTGTGACTGACTACACTGTGACTGACTACACTGTGACTGCCTACACTGTGACTGACTACACCGTGACTGACTACACTGTGACTGACCACACTCTAGCTGACTACACTGTGACTGACTACACTATGACTGCCTGCACTGTGACTGCCTACACTGTGACTGCCTACACTGTGACTAACTACACCGTGACTGACTACACTGTGACTGACCACACTCTAACTGACTACACTGTGACTGAATACTGAATAAACTATGACTGACAGACCACACTCTGAATGACTACCTTGTGACTGACTGCACTAAGATTGACTACCTTGTGACTGACTGCACTGTGACTGTCTGCACTGTGACTGACTGTACTGTGACTGTCTGCACATTGACTGACTTCACTGTGACCGACTACACTGTAACTGACTGCACTTTTACTGACTACACTATGACTGACTGCCTTGTGACTAACTGCACTGTGACTGTCTGCACTGTGACTGACTACACTTTGACTAGATTGTGACTGACTACACTGAGACTCGGTTGTTACTGACTACACTTTGACTAGATTGTGACTGACTACACTGAGACTCGATTGTTACTGACTACACTTTGACTAGATTGTGACTGACTACACTGAGACTCGATTGTTACTGACTACACTTTGACTAGATTGTGACTGACTACATTATGACTGACTACATTATGTGTGACTACATTCTGGCTGACTACACTGATTCATTTATTAACTGAATGGTTGCTTGATTGATTTATTCATTGACTGATTGATTGGTTCATTGATTCATTAGTGACTGTTTGATTATTTAATTCATTGATTGATTAATTGATCATTCATTGACTGATTTATTGGTTCAGTTGTTGGTTGATTAATTCATTAATTGACTGATTGATTAATTGACTGATTTAGTTACTGATTGATTGACTATTCATTGACTGATTGGTTGATAAATGCCATTTTTTGTAAAATCTTCGTCTAACAGAGTACCGTATTTTGGGAAAGAAAGGGGAGGGAACATTTTCTGAAGTTCTGAAATGTCAAAACATTAAAGACGGATCCTTCAGGGCCTGCAAAAAGATGAAACAGACTTACGAGAGGTGAGAGGTCAAATTCGTCATCTTGGTCTGTAAAAGCCTGTTTAAAAATTTGAGACACAGTTGTCTAATATAAGATACACTTGTCTGATATAAGATACACTATTGTGACAGAGAATCTCTTGTCAGAAATAAAATACACTCTTGTGGAGGAGAATCTCCTGTCAAATATTAGATACATCGTTGTGTGGGAGAGTCTCTTGTCATATATTGAATACAATGTTGTGTTTGTGAGTCTCTTGTCAAACAGAGATACACTTTTCTGTAGGAGAGTCTCTTGCAAAATATTAAATACACTGTTGTGTGGAACAATCTCCTGTCACATATAACATACTTTGTTGTGTAAGCAAGTCTTCTTAAATATAAAATACACTGTTATGTGGGAGAATCTCTTACCAAATTAAAAAAATACACTGTTGTGTGGGAGAGTCTGCTGTCAAATTTAAAATACACAGTTGTGTGATGGAGAATCTTTTGTCAGATATAAAATACACTGTTGTGTGGGAGAACCTCTTGTCAAAAATAAAATACACTGTACAATTCATTGTTGTCTGTTAAAGTCTCTCATCAAATATATGATACACTGTTCTATGTGAGAGTCTGTTTTCAAATATAAGAAACGTTGTTGTATGAGAGTATCTCTTGTCAATCATAAGATTGGTTGTTGTGTCAGAGAATCTCTTGTCAAATATGAGATACACTGTTGTGTGGGAGAATCTCTTGTCAAATTCAAGATACTCTGTTGTGTGGGAGAATTTCTTATTATAGAGTTTGATTGATTGGCTGCGGTTGTCTCTGATGGCCACATAAGCCCTAATAGTAAACCATTAGGACATAATAAAGATCTGCTTATGGCATATCTGTTTCTTGGCCACAGGGATCCACCATCTCGCCCGTGTTCTTTAACATGTATACGAGCAAGATTGCAAGCTTAGAAGCACCAGGAGTTGGAAAGATACTGACTTTTGCGGATGATATACTTGCATATAGGCAGGGGGAAGAGGGGCAACAAACAGCCTGGGAGCTACAAGCGACAGTAGACACAGTGACTGAGTGGTGTACAGAAATGAGGGCTGTCGTCCACCTAGAAAAGGTGTCTATTTTGTGGTGTTCTCTAGACAACATGGTCGTTAAAGCTGAAGTCCCAAGTCTCACTCTAGATGGTAGAAACATCAACAGAGAGAGCAAACTGAAGTATCTAGGAATTACATTTGACAGGAGCCTGTCCTTTAAGGACCATGTGGAGAGTGTTGTGTCAAGATGCCAAAAAGGACTTAGTTCACTTAAGACTATGGCTACAATTAGGGCTGTACCAAATAGTGATTTTCACTATTCGGCCGAATACGAATAGTGGAACCAACTATTCGGCCGAATACAAATACGAATAGTGTATCATCATCATCATCAGGTGCCTTGCCGACTGGCGTGGGCGATCATGCCTCTCCACAATTTGCTATCTCTTGCAGCATGTATCAGTTCGTGTGCTGTCACACCTCCATGCCATGCAACAAGACTATCAAGAATCTTCTTTCGTTGTCTTCCTCTATTCCTCCTTCCACAGATCACATGCATTATCATCTTACTTATATGTATTATATGTGTGTATTATGTGGGTGGGTGTGTGTGATTGTTCGTGTGTGTGTATATATATATGTGGATATATGTCTGTATTTTTAGGTTTGTAAGTATGTGTGTGTATTTATGTGTGTAAGTTGTAAGGATATGGGTGTATGTGTGATTTTATATGAGTGTAATTGTGTGTGTGTGTGTGTATTATGTATGCATGTATGTATGTATGTATGCAGGCATATATAAGTGAATGTTTGTATGAGGGTGTCTGTGTGATTATTTATGTCTGTATGCATGCATATGTGTGTATGTATGTAATGTGTGTGTATGTATGTATGTGTGTTTGTATGCATGTTGGTGGATGTATGTATGCATATGTATCTGTGTAAGTATGTGTGTGAATTTATGTGTGTTTGCAAGTATGTATGTATGTTTGTAAGTATGTATGGATGTGTGTATGTATGGATGTGTGTGCGCATGTATGTCTATGTAAATAGATGTGTGTGTTTTATGTTTGTATATGTATGTTGATGTATGTTTGTATTATTATGCATGCAGATTTAGCCTATGTATGTATGTATACATGTGGATGTGTGTATGTGTGTGTACATGTATGTAGGTGCATGTATGTATTATGTATGTCTGTATGAGAATGTATGAATGTAAATGTAGCTGTGTAAGTATGTGATTGTATGTGTGTGTATATATTTATGTATAATGTGGGTGTATGCAGGTATATGTAGCTGTGTAGGTATGTGTGTGTTTGTGTATTTATAAAAGCATACAAGTATGCATGTGTGTGTGATTGTGTGTGTATGCATGTGGATATATGAAAGTATATTTAGGTATGTATGTATGTGTGTAAAGATGTGTGTTTATGTATAAATGTGTGTATGTATGAATGTGTGAATATATGTATACATGTATGTGGGTGTATGTATTCATATAAGTGTAAATGTGTGGTTTTGGGCATATGTTGGTGTCTGTACATGTGATTGTAAATGTGTGTTTGCATGGGTGCATGTATAGATGTGTATGTATGGAATGTGTGTGTGCATGTATATCCATAAATGTATGTGTGTGTGTTTTCTGTTTGTGCATTTATGTCTATGTATGTGTATGCTTGTATGTGTATGTAGATGCATGTGTGTATGTATCATGTATGTCTGTATATGAGTTCGCATGTATGAGAACATAGGAGTATGTATACGTGTGTGTGTGAGTGCGTACGATTGTGTACACATCATGTGTGTATGCATTATACTATAATTTATATTTCTTTATTAAATCCATAACATGCATTACTGATAACAGGTATTGGTACTCTGAAAAATGAGTACTTAGAAGGGCCTAATGTCAGACGGGCCTGCGTGCCCAATTTGTAACCCTTTGAAAATAAAGTTTGTTCGTTCGTTCGTTCGATCTTTCCAGTGGTCACCAAATGTTCCATTTTCCCTCTTCTAACATTGCTGAAAAATGACGACTGTCTCCTTATGATGTCTGTGATTAGTTGTCTTTGGGCTCCCGCCTCTTTCAAAACCATGGTTCGCTCAGCCGTTCGTTTGATGTATTTTAAACGCACCTTTATATTCTCTTTATCTTCAAATTTGATTTGGGCGAAGACACCCTGAAAGAACGAAAAATGCATGATCTCTCTCTCTCCCCCCCTCTCTCTCTCTCTTTCTCACACAGACACACACACACACACACACACACACACACACACACTGCAGTTTGCCCCACTACCACAGACTTAGGCAACAGCAACTATTGTGTTAATGAGAGAGTTATTTCAGTCCATCACAGTGTATGCAGAAACGGGAGTAAGGTAACCACTATTCGTATTTGGCCCGACCGCAACTATTCGGTCGAATACTGAATAGTTATTAGGTCCTCTATTTGGCCTCGAAGCGAATACAAAGCGAATATTCGGTACAGCCCTAGCTACAATTGACAGAGAAGAGAATACTTTTCACACTATATCAGCACCTGATCCTGTCAGTGGTTGATTATGGCTTGGGACTGCTTTCCATCTTAAAGAGTCAGATAGACAAACTAGAGTGCATACAGAACACAGCTATGTGTGTCATTCTGGGTGGCACCAGAGACACCCCAGTGGTGCGTATGCGATACATCCTTGGTTTGCCGACTGTTGCAGGCAGGCATAAGGTGCTGTAGGCGAAGTCATATCTGAGGGTAGCTGCAGACACAGATCACCCTTTGCACGGAGCTCTGGGTGTAGTTAAGGGTCAGCGGCTGGTAAGAGGGAATTCATGGATGGCTCAGGCAGAAGACACAATCAGACAGGTTTGCATCCTTGAGAACATTAGACGAGAATGGAGGAGTGGGTCAAGGTGCCACATGAACAGTCAGACTTGTGTAGTGTCATAATCACACTGAGCCGGGAATGCAGAGACTGGCCAGCAGGTGCCACAGAGATGGAAATTCAGCAATGAATTCAAGATAATGCTCGCTCAGAAGATTTGATCATTTACACAGACGGTTCAGTGTCAAGAGGCAAAAGAAGGGCTTTGGGTTTCTTAACAAAAGTTAATGGTCGACGTATAGTACAGGAGAGCCTAGCATATGATACGACATCATCCAGCTTAGGAATGGAGGTGGGGGCGGTCACTGCAGCTTTCCCCTGGCTAGAGAACACGACACACACACACACACATCGTGATTGTAACTGACTCAGAAAGCATGCTGAGGAAGATCAGGACAGGTGTGCTTCGTGTAGAGTGGCAAGCCTCGCTGATAATTAAATTTGACCATTTCACATACTTATGATTTCATTTCAAACTTTCTGATTGCTTGGTTACGCTGAATTTTCATAGATTTCCATTTATTTTCATTTAGATTTAATTATTTCTTTTGACATTGCGTTGGAATTAGGCGGTGTTGTTTATCACAGCGTTGATTTCGTAATTATGATGTATTTTTTCCTGTTTTCGTTGCATTTCACTTGGTTTTTTTCTCCAAACTACTTCGATGAAGGAAAGAGTAGTCAGTGAATTGGGGGGGGGGGGGGGGGGGGGGGGGGGGGGGGGGGGGGTGGGGGGTGAGGGGGGCGTTGCATAAACTGGTAACTGAAAGAGCTTTAAGTCAAAGTAACTTCCTTACCCACTCAAAGTAGCAGTAGTAGTAGTTGTGATTGAGCGGTTACACCGTAGTGCTGTCATGTCGGAGACCGCCGGTAAGGTTATGGCATTTTTCTGTCGGGGAGCAAAATTACACATCCTAACCTGACCAGTCCGTGCCGACAGCATTAGCCTTGTGGCGCCAAATCCTCTAGCTCACGACTCCGTCTACTTCGATGGTAAAAAAGATAGCAGTGACATTATTTTAGTTATTGTGGTGGCGGTGGTGGTAGTAGTTGTACTGGTACTTGAAGGATGGTGTGGTAAATATTACACTAGCCGAACTTGCTACTCATTACAATTCCTGCTCCCTATTTTAGGGAGGTATCAACGTCAGTTACAAAAAATATCGTCCGGTGATGACTTTCAAATCCTTCGATGAGGGAGAGAGCAGTATTCGGTGGATGGGGAAGGGGACGGGGTGATGTCAGAAATTGTTGTAGTAGGTGGATTTGGGAAGGGGTGGGGGGGGCATCGAAGACTATCTCTGTATGTGCGCAGACAATGATTGCGACAGTAACCATATTAGACACGTGCGATTTCTATTTTCTTTCTTTTCCATTTTCCAAACTATCCCACAGCAACGCGTGGCTGGGTAGCTAGTATATATATATATATATATATATATATATATATATATATATATATATATATATATATATATATATATATATATATATATATATATATATATATATATATATATATATATACACATACATACATACATACATACATACATACATACATACATACATACATACATACATACATACATACATACAGGCATACATACAGTCATGCATGGAGACACACATATGCACACACGAACACTCCCACAGTCACACCTACAGAGACAGAGACACACACACTCAGACAAAAATATAGACGTGCACACACAGACACTTACATATAAACACACACAGAGAAACACAGAGCAGACATATATACATTTGTGTTCATACACTGACACACACATACACAGACAAACATGCATACCCATACATACAGCCACATAGACACACACTCAGTCAAAGACACACACAAAAATACAGACAAACAAGCAGACAAACGCATACTGACACCCACACAGACAAACACGCAGAAATGCATACACAAACACACACTCAGACAAACACATAGGAATACACCAACAGACACAAATATACAGCACACACAGACATATACTCTGACATGCTGACACATACACACAACAAAGGGTCACATACAAACACACACACAGACACCCATTGACAAATACACTGGACACGCGCGCACACAATACACACAGAGAAACACACATAGACACACACACACAGACAGACACATGCTGAGACATACACTCATGCAGACAGACATACAGACACCCACAGACAGAGGTACATACATACAGCCACATAGACACACCCGCAGACAAACACACATAAATATACACATGCAAATATGCAGACAAACACATACTGGGACACACACAGACACACACGAATATATACACACAGTCACATCAAATATGCAAACAAAACCGAGACACAGACACATGCAGACAAACACAGAAACACACACATGTATCCAGTCGCACACACACACACGCAGACACACATACACAACAAAGAGGTACACTTAAACACACAAAACACACACACATTCAGACACAGACGCATACATTAGCAGACACACATGCAGATACACAAGCAGACAAACAACATACTCAGAATCATATGTATACAAACAAGCCTACACATACATACATATCACACACACACACACACACACACACACACGCAAACATACATATCATATACACCTTGTTTAGTAATAAATTGATTAAGCCAAATGGGTTATATTACATTCAAGGTGGCATATAATCGCTTGTAAGTATGAACTGAAAAAGTTTACGATTAAAATAATAGGGACTCTTAGAATTTGTCAGGTTTAGTGGAAGTTGGTTCCACAAATGAGCAGCGGAGTACGCTAAACTTGTTTTATATAAATCTATTCTAGGTTTAGGCAAATGTAATAATTTTAGTCGCTTGCTGTTTATAAGATTTGATTTAATCAATCGGTAAAGGTAGTTTGGAGTATTTTGAGATAAAATTTTATGAATAAATTTGGCCTTGTTAATAATTAAATGTTTGCTAAATGGCAATAGTCTTAGATGATTATAGAGATTATTTTTTTCGATATGATTACTATCTGAGACCAGGCATAAAGCACGGTTTTGAAGAGAACTTAGTCTTTTAACATTGGATTTGGCGCAACCATCCCAAACTGGAACAATAGTCGACATGTGTTTGGATGTAGGACGCGTGAAATACTTTACTGGCATCTTCGTCTAGAAAGTGCTGAATTTTGGCAAGCTGATAAACTTTTTGTGCTATTTTCTTAGTTATGACAGAAACATGAGAATTCCAGGTTAAATGGTTGTCAATTGTAAGGCCTAAAGTTTTGTGTTCCGTTACATTAACAAAAGGTAATTTATCAATGTAGAGCTCGAGTGTTGGCTTGTGCAGTACTAATGTTTGCAACTTTTGTCTGGTTGTTATAAGCATAGACTTAGTTTTATTAATGTTAATTTGCATGCGATTGCTATTGCTCCATTTACAAAGATTGTGTACTTTTTTCTGTAAAGATCTTTCTAACTCATTACGGTTCTCATTGCTAGTATATATTGTACAGTCA